GTTCAGTAATGGTAGCTGGGCACCATCTAGTTCTTCTGGTCTAAAGTAAAAGAGGCAGTTGTTCATGGAGGTAATTAACCACACATTTCACATCCTCCTCCTATTCCTGACTCTCCTCCTTTCTCTGTTGGTCCAGGTGGATAGAGACCAGTTATTGGACTTTGGATGACCACTGGCAGGCTTTTAAGACCCAATTCACTACACAGTGATCTAGTAGTTAAAACAAAAGCACTAAACACATTATTAGGCCAGTTAACTGGGATGTACCATGAAACCAAGGAACTAAATCCTGTGAGGTGTGTGGTTGTACATAAACAGCCTGTATTAGACTGGATTCTCTAGAGAAACAAATACCAGCAAAGGTTATATACATATATAAAAAGAGAGAGAAATTTATGTTAGGAAAATGGCTCACAAACGTATAGAAGCTGGCAAGTCTAGAGTCCTTGAAGCAAATGTCAGGCTGGAGGCTTTTCCCCGCAGGGGGCCGAGAAGCTCAAGGCTGGCAGGCAGTACACCGGCTGTTGACTCCAACCAACGATGAATCCAAGATCTCCAGGCTGAACAGTGGACTGCTTACTCATGAACAGTTGCAGGCAGCACCACAGAATCCCCGATCCACAGAAGAAAGTCCGTCTTCCCAGGATGTCCCTGCATATCCTGGAAGCAGGCCCCACCCCTAGAGAAACTCCCCTTGGGCAGATTGGCCACTCAGAACACATTCATCCGATCCCATCATGGGAACAACCACACAGAACTGGGTCCAGCCAAGTTGACACACAGCTCCAACTATCACACAACCCCAGCAAAAATAAAATAAACCTACTACTCTCGGATCAATTTTGACTCATAGTGACCCTATAGGACAGAGTAGAACTGCCCCATAGAGTTTCCAGGGGGAGGGGCAAGGAGCTCTGGTGGCCTAGTCCCTAAGGCACTAGACTGATAACCAGAAGGCTAGTGGTTCAAACCCACCATCCACTCCTTGGAAGGAAGATTGGGCAATCTACTTTCATAGTGATAGTAGGGTCACTATGAGTCAGATCTGACTCGATGGCAGTGTGTTTGGTTTTGGCTTGGAATCTTTACAGAAGCAGATTGCCACACCTTTTTCCAGTAGAGCAGCTGGTGGATTTGAACTGCCAACCTTTTGGTTCGCAGCCAGACAGTAACTGCTGCACCACCAGGGCTACTCTTATTTTTGTTATTGTTGTACATAAAATATTCCTGTAAATTATAAAATTGGCAACTTTTGCTTATTCAACTTTATATACCTGTATAACTTAATGACAGCAATTGGCTGTGCAACCCTCTCCTTAATAAGATTTTTCCATCACCATTAACTGCCCTTTTCTTGCCACCCCTCACAAAAACAAAAGAAAACTCACGGCCATTGAGTAGATTCCAACTCATAGCGACCCCTCCTTGGGTTTCTGAGGCAGTATCTCTATGGAAGTAGATTGCCCAATCTTCCTTCCAAGAAGTAGTTGGTAGGTTTGAACCGCCAACCTTCTGGTTAGCAGTCAAATGCCTTAGGCACTATACTACCAGAGCTCCTTACCACCCCTAGTAACTAGTAGTAAACTTCGGTCACTATACATTTGCCTTTTCTTGTCTTTTTTTGTGAGATCACACAATATTTGTCCTTTTGTGATTGGCTTATTTCACTCAGCATAATGTCTTCAAACTCCATTCATACTGTAGCATGTATCAAAACTGCATTTCTTCTGCTGGTTGAGTAGTATTCCACTGTCTGTATGTACCACATATTGTTTATCCATTCACCTGCTGATGGGCATTTACATTGTTCCCACCTTTTGGCTATTGTGAATAGTGCTGCAATGAACGTTGGTATACAGCTCTCTTTTTGAGTCTCTCCTTTCAAGTCTTGGGTATATACCTTGTTGTGGAATTGCTAGACTGTATGGTATTTCTATTTTTAGTTTATTGAGGTATAATCATACTGTTTTCCACAATGACTTACCATTTTTCATTCCTAACAGCAGTGGGTGTTGCTGTTAGGTGCTGTCAGGTCAGCTCCAACTCATAGCAACCCTGTGTACAACAGGATGAAATACTGCCCAGTCATGTGCCATCCTCACAATCTTTGCTATGCTTGAGCCCATTGTTGTTGCCTCTGTGCCAGTCCATCTCATTAAGGGATCTTTACCTTTGTCACTGACCCTCGAGTTTACCAAGCATGATATCCTCCTGCAGGGAATGGTCCCCTCTGATGACATGACCAAAGTAGGTGAGATGAAGTCTGGCCATTCTTTCTTATAAAGAGCATTTGGCTGCAGTTTTTCCAGGACAGATTTGTTCGTTCTTCTTGTAGTCCGTGGTATTTTCAGTATTCTTCACCAACACCACAATTCAAAATCATCAACTCTTCATTGTCCAGCTTTCCATGTATATGAGGCAATTGAAATACCATGGCTTGGGTTTGGTATACTTGATTGTTCAAAGCAACATCTCTGCTCCTTAATGTTTTAATGAAGTCTTTGGCAGCATATTTGCCTAGTGCTATATGGTATCTGATTTCTTGACTGCTGCTTTCATGAGTGTTGATTGTGGATTCAAGTAAAATGAAAACCCTGACAATTTCAATCTTTTCTACATTTATCATGATGTTGCTTATTGGTCCAGTCATGAAGTTTTTTGTTTTCTTTATGTTGAGGTGTTATCTATACTGAAAACTGTAGTCTTAGATCTTCATCAGTAAGTACTTCAAGTCATTCTCACTTTCAGCAAGCAAGGTTGTGTCATCTACATATATATCACAAGTTGTTATTGAATCTTGCTCCAAACTTGATGCCACGTTGTTCTTTATCTAGTCCAGCTTCTCGGATTATTTGCTCAGCATAAAAATTGAATAAGTATGGTGAAAGGATACAACCCTGATGCACACCCTGCCTGATTTTAAACCATGCAGTGTCCCCTTGTCTTCTCAAGCTGTCCTTTGAAATCTTCTGTTCATTTCCTCCAGTCTCTTTAGTTGCTCTACATTCAGAAGCAAGTTTCAGAGTCTCTTCTCACATCCATTTTGGTCTTTTCTTCCTTTCTTGTCTCTTAAATGACCTTTTGCTTTCTTCAAGTATGATGTTTTTGATGTCATCCCACAACTCGTCTGGTCTTTGGTCATGGGTGTTCAATGCATCAAATCTGTTCTTCTGATAGTCTCTAAATTCAGGTGGAATATAATCAAGGTCGTATTTTGTCTCCTGTGGACTTGTTTGAATTTTCTTCAGCTTCAACTTGAACTTGCATATGAGCAATTGATGGTCTGTTCCACACTCAGCTCTCAGCCTCGTTTTAAGTGAAGATACTGAGCCTCTCTGTTGCCTCTTTCTGCAAATGTAGTGAATCTGATTCCTGTGTATCTGTCTTGCGAGGTCCACATGTATAGCTGCCATTTATGTTGTTAAAAAAAGATATTTGTAATTTTGCCAATAGAATCCTTTAATATTGCAACTTGAGGCTTAAATTTTTTCTTCCATTCTTTCACCATGAGAAATGCTGTGTGTGTGCTTCCCTTTTGGTTTTCTAATCCATCCATCCATATCATCCAGCATTGTTCATAGTAGCCCAAAATTGGAAACAATCTGTCTATCAACAGAAGAATGAATAAATTGAGTATATTAATTCAATGAAAGAACTATGTAGCAGTTTAAATAAAAGAGTAAGAATTGTGTCTATCAGCATGGAAAAAAATCATAAAGACAATGTTATGTGAAAAAAAGTACATTGAAAATAAACATGTATAATATGCTATTTATGTAATGCAAAACAATACTATGTATTACTTAGAAATAAACATATATGATATAAATACAAAAACATGTATGGAAATGATAACATAAAATTCAAAGTGGAGATCTCTGAAGTGGGAAGGAGGGAAATGAGATTTATGAAGGGCTCCTGGGGGCTTCAGTTACATCTGTTTTTTTTTAATAGGTGTTGCATAGTGTTTGTTATGTTTAGGTTTTGCATATAATTAGTTTATAATAATTTATAATAATTCAAAATTATATATAAATTACCTTTATAGAGATTATTATACAATTGAATGCTATACAATAAAAAGCCTTTGAAAACTGCTATGCAAAAATATAGATTGTTGGTGGTGGTTCATTAACCTTTCACCTTCTTTCGCTATAGTGTACTACAAATGAGGAAATGCTGATGTTAAATTAATACCTGATACCTAAATTAAACCACCTTTTATTTATTTATTAATTTTTATTGTGATTTGGGTGAAAGTTTACAGAGCACATTCACTTTCCATACAGCAGCTCACATATACTTTGTCTTACGACATTGACAGCAATTTCCTACAATACAACAGCTCCTCTCCCACTTCCTCCCCATAGTTACCTCTTCCGTGTCCTTTCCTCTCATTTACTCCTGACCTCCACACTGTCTCCCTGTACATACAAGGCCCTTCTATTCTCCCGTGATTGATCTCTCCAAGGAGTGTATCTACCTAATGTAAATGTTGAGCTCATATGCCTATCTTTTGTTTGGCTGGAAGCCATGGGAGTAGGTTCATTTCCATACCTGAAGGGCAGCTAGGGGCCGTAGTCTCAGTGGTTCCATCAGGCTCTATCATATCTGCAGACCTGGTCCCTTTTTATTTTATTTTTTTAAATAATTTTGAGTTTTGTCCCACATTGTTCTCCCACTCTGTCCAGAATCTCCTACACAGATCCCCCTCTGAGTGGTTGACAAAACCACCCTTTCTTGAAATCAAATCTAATATATACCTTCTATTTTTAGAAATGTTTGACTTTTTTTTAGTTTAAAATGAATTTTTCATGTGCCTTTGTCACTCTTCTGTTAATTATACCTAGTGAGATGATTGTGTGTACTCTTACTGACAGTAAGAGTGATGCATACTGTTAAGAATGAAATGTCATTCTTTCTGTTACTCTCTGTAGTAGACCTCAGCTGCCAAGTGACCTAGTGATGCTAGAAGTAAATGACCCTATCATCTTTTCCAGATAAATGCAGTGCGTGCAATAGTTCCTAATAAGAGCAACAATGAGATCATCCTGGTCTTGCAGCACTTTGATAATTGTGTGGACAAAACAGTGCAGGCATTCATGGAAGGTAATCTTAGCTCAATAATTTTTTATATTAATTTGTATTTGTTCAAATAGAAATTGTTTCAGACTTTTATAACATTGACTCAGCAATCCAGTGCTTCTCAGATGATATAGCAGATCCCATGATAACATACCATGACATGATATTTTTCTTATGTAAGATACCTTTTTCAGCCCTAGAAGCAATTCATTCATAAGCTATGTAGTATCTAAAATAAGAGACTAGAGAAAAATTCCATGTTTTCACTCTGAATGTTCTCTAATAGCATTTAAGAAGAAATCCTGTGGCCACTGGTGGTATCAGGAACTTGATTGGAATTGGATTGATTAAGAGTTTAAGAGACTCTTACTAAGAAAGCAGTGATTCATTGGCCCAGCAGCCAGTGACAAATACGTGGACTCTGTCTTCTTTTCTAGGATCTAATATTATTTAGTTTGACTCTGGCAAGTGTCTCAAGTGTGTGGGTTTAAATTTCCTTATCTGACATATTACACTGGTGGGCCCAGTCAAACCTTTGGGTTTATAGAATTGAGAAATGTTTTATGAACTTCTTTCCACATAAACTTGTTTGAGGAAAACTTGACCTGAGGCCATTGCATCATTGAACAGTGACATCAAATTAGGACTCCTTGTTCCTAATTTTCTGAATTTGCCAGTATAGAATTGCAGAGTTTGAAGGAGTGCAGTCCACACAGGGCCATCCTCATTCTGACACCAGTTGCAAGTTCAGGAGTACCTAAGACCACCCTCAGGTGCAAGAATTGGCTAAACCCACTCACAGAAAGCTGTTTTATTCATGGTTACATTTTATTACAGTGAAAGAATATAGATTAAAGTCAGCCAAAGGAACCTAGGGCACATAGGGCAGAGTCTAGGAAAAATCCCAGATGCAGTTTTCATTATCCTTTCCCTGTAGAGTCATGAACACATTACTTGCCTGGTATTGATGTGTGACAATACACCCAGAGCATTGCCAGTCAGGAAAGTGCACCTGAGGCTTGGTATCCAGAGTTTTGTAGGGGCTCTGTGGTTAACTGTCCGACTGGCTGATTTTTTCAGTCTCCAGAGGTATAGTGGATACTGCATGGTGCAAAGCCCATCATACATCACATTGTTACATTGTCCAGTGGCTAAGGCCCATAGGTAAACAAAGGTACTCTTCCTATAGATCACCTCCCAGAAGTGAGGGCAAATGCCAGACCTCTCTTTGGGTAAGGGTAATTCTTTCTACACATGGATAAACAGGTCCAAACACTGTAAGATTTTCTGTCATCTTCATCTGCTTTCTTTATAATGTTATCATTTGACTCTCAGGCAGTGTAAGGTAAGATGTGCAACTCTTTACAAAGCATCATAGCCAAGGTGTAGTGTGCAACCTTGTGGAGGAGAAGGGATGGCATACTTGGATGAAGTCAGTCAACTTTTATTTGGTCCAAAAAATGTAAATAAAAGATTCTTCAAAATACCTGGCAACATTAGTCTCTTTTTGGAAGAACTTGCTGTGGAAATTATATGGAGAAGGGAGATTGAAATTGGAAGGTATTCCAAAAGGTAATTGTGATGTAATTATCTCCTTACATTAGCTGAGAGACTTGAACCTTAACTTTACCTGTTAGGAGCTTTAGAAATCCTTCAACAGTTACAAAATTCCTGCTTGTCTATGTCTGGTTAAGAGAAAAAACTTGTTTCTCTTACAGGTAGTGCCAGTGAAGTACTCAAAGAATGGACAGTAACAGGCAAGAAAAAGGTAAAAATGAATTAAATTGAAAAGCATGATGTTGATATTTGCATTGTAAAAAAAAATCAGGCTCTGCCAAAATAGTTTAAATAAATGATTTACTTACACATCTTCAGGTTACTGTTAAAAATGTTTCCTTCTGTGATACTGAAACGCAACTGTATCTAAGATAGAGTGCCACGTAGTCTTTTCCATGTGGTTTAAGGCAGGATACAGGATGACTTTGCCATGGTTCAGATGCTAAGGGTATATTATACTAGGCAGGAGTGAAACAAGAGTACACGTCAGGGTAAGGAGAGCTCCTCTAGAGAAGATTGTCTAATTCATTGGTTTTCAGTGTCATCCATATGTAGATCTTTTAAAAACTTCAGACTTCTTGTTCAGACAGCTGTTCTCTTCTTTATTCTTTGTATTATAGTTCCTGATATTAACGAGCTTTGACTTAATGCCTAATGGGGAGCTTTGCTGTTTATATATAAGCATTAGGTACTTTGCAGCAAAAAAACAAACCAAACTCACTGCCGTTGAGTTAGATCCAACTCATAGCAACCCCTCCCTGGGTTTTCGAGTCACTATGGAAGTAGATTGCCCCATCTTCCTTCCGAGGAGTGGCTGGTGGGTTTGAACCACCAGCCTTCTGGTTAGTAGTCAAATGCCTTAGGTACTATGCCACCAGAACTCCTGTGCTTTGCAGAGTGGTCTGATACGCCAGTTTAGAGATGTAGAAGGCACTTGGTCTTAAAGTCAGTCAGAACTGTTTTTATACCCTGTTCCTTTATTTACTGGCTTTGCAAGCTGGAGTATTGTTTAACCATGATGTACCTTAATTTGCTTAGCTCTAAAACAAGAAAATAATACTAACAAATACAAGTATAATATGTAAAATATTAGTTCTCGTTCCCTTTTTAGCCACTTAAAACCAGAATTCTTTCCCCAAAGGATACTAGCTAATTTCAGAATGCTTTCCGCAGCTCTATACTCTAAAGCTAGCCCCTTTAGGAAATGCTATAAGTATGGATTTTAATCAAGTTTCTCTATAAAATATGTTACTGTGTACATCTGTTTAATGTGGTCTTTTCCTATATTATCAGTGCTGGAGTGCTGGAATGCTTTCTTGATAACTCTAATTACTTCAGTAGGGGTTCTGTCAGGTCTTGATCAAACCAGGGTTGGCCCCAGTGACCCTTGAGGATTTTTTCCAATGAAGACTTAATACCTCTACAGATTCCCCTGAAGCTCTTGTATGCATAACTTTGAATATTTGCTTAACTTCTTCCTGGTGCTTTTACCCTAACACAGATAGCTGTATGTGCTCTGTAGAGCACCAGTTCCTTAATTTATTGGCCCAGGATATGAATTACTAGGGATCTAAAATACGCATAAAGTTGGAAAAGTATGTGTTGGAGAGGCACAAATTTCTTAAATTTGGAGAAGGAAAGTGAGATTCCATTTCACAACCCTAAATGCCCAAATCCAGCCCAGTTAACTGTCAGAATTAGTTCATTAAGATGTGACTATGAGCAGTTACTGGGATAGTTGTCCCATACATGGGAAAGTGATATGAAATCTTAGCTATTTCACCTGGGAGAAAGTATTTAAGAGAAAGAAAAATGAGAGCTGTGTGATTATATTTAGAGTTCCAGGAGAGTAGTAGTGCTCATGCTAGAGAGGGCCACAGAAGGGCCTGAAGAAAAACTGATATGTCAGTCTAGCCTTAGTGATAAAATCAATTATTGCCAATAGACCTGTGGGTTTGTTTATTTAAATATTACTGTTGTTGTTGTTGTTGTTTGCCATTGAGTCAGCCCTGACTCATAGCGACCCCTCCTTGGGTTTCCGAGGCAGTATCACTACGGAAGTAGGATTGCCCAACCTTCCTTCCGAGGAGTGGCTGGTGGGTTTGAACCGCCAGCCTTCTGGTTAGCAGTCAAGTGCCTTAGCCACTATGCTACCAGAGCTCCATATTGTTAGTATATGTAATATATTTGGATGGTTCAAAATTCAAAAAATACCCCCCCCCCCAAAAAATACAAAAGTTAAATATAGCAAAATGTCTTTTGCCCATCTCTATTCCCCAGCCATTTGGTTCCCTACTCCAGCGGCAGACAGTATTAAAATTTCTTACATATCTTCTAGGATATGATATGCATATGTAAGCAAATATGAATATATACTTTCCTCTTTGCTCTTTTTTTTTTTCATGTAATTTATCGTGTTAGTATATAAAGAACTTTCTTTTTGTGTTTTATAGATTCATAGTCATCCTAATGTTTGAATGTACTATAACTTATTTAACCCTAGTGATCATCATTTCTGTTATTTTCAATCCTTTGCTGTTATTAACAGTATTGCAGGGAATAACCTTGTACATACATCATTTTGCACTATGTTAGTATCACTGTAGGATAAATTCCCGGAAGTAGAATTATTAATCAAAGAGTAGATGCATTTGTAATTTTGATAAGCATTATTAAATTGCCATGGAGAATACTAGTTTACACTCCCACCAGCAATATATAAAATGCCTGTTTCCTAACATCTTTGACCCCACAATGCTATCAAACTTTTTGACCTTTGCTAAATACTAATATTGCAGTACTGTTTTAATTTATATGTCTCTTATTACACTGAGGTTTTACTTCATTCCATATGCTTATATTCTATACCATTTTTCTGTTGGGTTTGTTTTGTTTGTTTTTTATTAGAGCTCTGTATATATTTAATTCTTTCAAAATAAGTTGCACATTTTTTTAACATTCTGTCATTTGTCTTTTGATTTTGCTTATGGTCATTTTTGGGAGCTCTGGTGGGATAGTACCTAAGGCACTTGACTGCTAATCAGAAGGTTGGTAGTTCAAACCCACCAGCCACTCTCCGGAAGGAAGGTTGGGCAATCTATTTCTGTAGTGATACTGCCCCGGAAACCCAAAGAAGGGTCGCTATGAGTTGGAGACAACTCGATGGCACATAACAACAACAACAACAACATGGTCATTTTTGCCAGGCAGGCATTTTTTATATTTATTAAGAAATCAGTAATGTTGGTCGTTTTGGGTAGCTAAAGTTTACCTTGCTGGGTTGTTGGAGGTCTTTCTTTCTTTCTTTCTTTTCAAATCTTTAATAACCCTTAGAACAAAAAGAAGAAAAGCAAACCAAAACCTGCAGCAGAAGCAAGTAACAATATCTCAGATTCCAGTAAATTGGCTTCCATTCAAGAGGAACAGTCTGCACCTTCCTCAGACAAAGGTGGTATTAATGGTTACCATGTCAACGGTGCCATCAATGATACTGAATCTGTGGACTCACTCAGTGAAGGTTTGGAGACACTTTCAGTAGATGCCAGAGAAATGGAGGATCCTGAGTCTGTCACACCAGATATCCAGATGCTGGGTAGAACAGGTGAGTTTATTAACAGATTTTTAAAAAGTTGCATTCAGTTAAAAAATGTAGGGGAGTCCTAGATGAGAAAGTGACCAATAAATTTAAAACTATTTGGTCTTTTACTTTTTCAGTTTTTGTTACTTCTGTAAAAGACTCATGTTTTTGCAAGTATCAAAGGCCTAGAAAAATACAATTTTCGTTCCTTTGTCTCCTATTTTTACTTTAGTTTAAACCAGTCTTGTGGAAATCTTCTAACTTAATAAAACAGAAACAAAATCAAACCTACTGCCATCAAGTCAGTTCCGACTCATAGCAGCCCTATAGGACGCCATAGAACTGCCCCATAGGATTTCCAAAGCTGTAAATGTTTACTCAAGCAGACTGCCTCATTTGTCTCTCCCAGAGCAGCTCACTGGTGGGTTCAAATTACAATCCTTTTGGTTAGCAGCCAAATACTTTAACCACTACACCAACAGAGCTCCTGTAATTATAGAAGTACATTAAGAGAAGTATTTTTTGTTACTGTTGTTGAGGATATACACAGTAAAACATACACCAAATTCAGCCATTTCTACAAAAAATGTACAATTTAGTGACATTGATAACATTCTGTTAGTTGTACAACCATTCTCACCTTCCTTTTCTGAGTTGTTCCTCCATTAACATAAACTCATCCCCTCTAAGGTTCCTATCTTACCTTTCAGTTGCTACTGTCACTTTGATCCCTTATAAACAACAACAACAAAAATCCACTGTCAAAAGTTAAGGAAATGTTTATATATTGGAGGACATTTTCTTTGTTGGTTACCAGGGGTGGGAGGGAAGGGGAGGGAATGCTGTTAGATAGATAGAGATAAATATTGATTTGGGTGAAGAGAAGGGCAATGTGCCAAATGTGAGTGACCAATATGGCAGCATTGAGGATGAGAAAGACAGAGAGAGTTACATGGGCAGTACAAACAACAAATATGAACCCCTTTGTAAATACAATACTGAGTTGTCAATGAAAGCAAACATGGGTATAGGGACGGATAGATGGGTGAACAAGCTAAACAATTATGTATGTCTAAATGGAGAGTGTATCCAAGATCATGTACAGGGTTGGCAGACAATGGGCCTCTCGAAGAGTATGAAGGGATGGACACTGGGAGGAGGTAACTATGGGGAGGAAGTGGGAGGGGAGCTGCTGCATTGTAAATTTTGGTCAATGACATGAGACAAAGTATATGTGAACTGCTGTATGAAAAGTGAATTTACTCTGTAAATCTTCACCCAAATCCTAATTAAAAAAAAAAAAAAAAAAAATCCACTGTCATTGAATTGATTCCAACTTATAGCGACCCTATAGGACAGCATAGAACTGCCTAGTAGGCCTTCCAAGGCTGTAAATCTTTCTAAAAGCAAACTGCTATGTCTTCCTCCTGCAGAGTAGCTGATAGGTTTGAATTGCCAGTGTTTTGATGAGTAGCCAAGCGCTTTAATTTCTATGCTACCAGTGCTTGCTGATCCCATATAGTTAGTTCTTAAAAGAGTGTAATATTCAAGGCAGACATTTTTTTACTAGTCAGGCTGAACTATTCAGTTTTAAGAATACTTCAGGGAATATTTTTTGTAAGTTTTAAAGATTATCTCAGGGCCATACTTTCAGGGGTTCATCCAGCCTCAGTAGCTCCAGAGTGTGGATTCCATGAAAATTTGAAATTCTGTTTTGCATATTCCCCCTTTTGATAAGGATTTTTCTATAGAATCTTTGATTTAAATGATCAGTAATGGTAGTCAGGCTACCATCCAGTTCTTCTGGTCTTATGACAAAGGAGTCAGTTGTTCATGGAGGAAATTGGTCACACATTGCATACCCTCCCTGTCTTCCTGACTCTCCTTCCTCTGTTGTTATAGGTGAATAGAGACCAGTTTTTATCCTTTTGATGCCACTTGCAGGCTTTTAAGACCCTAGGCACTATGCATTGAACTAGGAGTTAGAACAGAAGCACTAAACACAGTATTAGGCCAGTTAACTAGGATGTCTCATGAAGCCATGACCCTAAACCTCCAAACTAAGGAACCATATAGCATGAGGTGTTTGGTTGTATATAAGCAGTCTCAGCAGCTGCTGCTGCCGCTTTTTTTTTTTTCCTTTTCATTATTGTAACTGTATCACACAACTTCTGGCAATTAAACTTTTTGCAAGTGTACAACTAATTGACAGCAATTACAGTAATCAGCTGTGCAACCCTGTCCTTAATCAATGCAGTTTTCCCATTACTTACTGTTAACCCTTCCATCCCACCCCTGATAATCACTAATAAACTTTGATCTCTGTACATTTGCTTTTTCTCATCTTTTTATTAAAGTGAGGCCATACATTATTTGGTCATTATTTCACTAAGCATAATGTCTTCAAGCCCTATCCATATTGTAGCATAATATTCCATTGTATGTATATACCATATTTTGTTTATCCACTCATGTGTTGATGAGCATTTAGGTTGTTTCTACCTTTTGGCTGTTGTGAATATTGTTGCAGTGAACACTGGTGTGCAACTCTCTTTGAGTCTCTGCTGCCAAGTCTTTTGGGTATATACCTATAAGTGGAGTTTGCTGAGTCAAATGGGAGTTCTACTTTAATTTTTTGAGGAACTGCCAGACTGTTTTCCACAATAGCTGTACCATTTTGTATTCCCAGCAGCAATGGATGGGAGCTCTGGTAGCGTAGTACCTAAGGCATTTGACTGCTAACCAGAAGGCTGGCAGTTCAAATCCACCAGCCACTCCTCAGAAGGAAGGTTGGGCAATCTGCTTCCATAGTGATACTGCCTCAGAAACCCAAGGAGGGGTCGCTTTGTTATTAAGTTGTTGAAGTTTTATTTGTATTTATTTTGGTTATTAAATTGTTATCAGACACGTTTCCAAACATATTCTTCCAGTCGATAGCCTGTCTTTTCACTTTTTTTGGTAGTCTTTTGATGAAAAAAAGTTTTTAATTTTTATGAGGTTCCATTTATTTATTTCTGCTATTTGTACTTTTGTTAGTATATTAGATGATCCATTGTTGAAAGCTAGGCCTGACAGTGTTGCCCCTGCTTGTTTTTCTAAGAATTTTATGGTTTTAGTTTGCACATTTAGGTCCTTACTCCATTTGGGAGCTCTGGTAGCATAGTGGCTAAGACACTTGCCTGCTAACCAGACGGCTGGCGGTTCAAACCCACCAGCCACTCCTCGGAAGGAAGGTTGGGCAA